ACCATGTTCATGAATAGAAAGAATTAACATAATTAAAATGTCCATACTACCCAAAGCAATCTGTAGATTCAACACAATTATTATCAAGATACTAATGATGTATTTCAGAGAACTTAAACAAATACTCCAAAAATTTATATGGAACCACAAAAGACCCTGAATAGACACAGCAATCTTGAGAAAGAAGAACAAATTTGGAGGAATCATGCTACCTGATGTCAAACTATACTACAAAGCCATGGTAATCAAAACAATATGGTACAAAACATCACTAATCAGGGAAATGCAAATTAAAACCACAAAGAGCTATCATCTCACACCTGTCAGAATGACTGTCATCAATAAATCAACAAAACAGTGTTTTCGAGGATGCAGAGAAAAGGGAACCCTAGTGCACTGTTGGTGTGAATGCAAATTGGTGCGGCCACTGTGGAAAGCAGTATGAAGTTACCTCAAAAAGTTAAAAATGGATCTGTTTTAATTCCCAGAAGTTCCACTTCTGGGAATATATCTGAAGAAACTGAAAACACTGATTAGAAAGATATATGTGCCCTTATGTTCATTGCAGTGTTGTTTACAATAGCCAAGATTTGGAAGCAGCCCAAATGCTCACCAGTAGATAAGTGAATAAAAAAGCTGTGGTACATTTATACAATGGAATACTACCAGACATAAAAAAGAAGGAAATCTTACCTTTTGTGACAGCGTGGATGGACCTGGAGAGTATTATGCTAAGTGATAAGCCAGTCAGAGAAAGACAAGCACCATATGGTTTCACTTAAATGTGGAATCTAATGAACAAAATAAAGTAACAAAGTGGAAGAGACAGACTCATGGATACAGAGAACAGAATGATGGCTGTCAGGGGGGTAGGGGTTAGGGGCTGAGAGAGAAGGGTGAAGAGATTGAGAAAAGAAAAAAAGAAAGACTCATGGACACAGACAACAGTATAGTGATTGCCAGAAGGAAGAGGGGATAGAGGGAGGTAGAAGAGGATAAAGTGGGGATGAATGATGGCAGAGGTGACTTGACTTTGTATGGTGAACACAATACAATATATAGATGATGTATTGTAGAATTGTATACCTGAAACTTATATAATCTTATTAACCAATGTTATCCCAAAAAATTCAATAAAAATAAATTTTAAAAAATTGGAAAGGAAAAATAAAATCATCTCTATTCAGAGAAGAGAAATTATTGTCTTTATAGAAAATTCAAAAGAATATATAAAAATAACCTATTAGAACTAATAAGAGTTTTGAAAAGTCAATTTTTAATATGAAAAATCAATAGTATTTTTAATATACCAGTAATAAACACTGGGGAATCAAAATTCAAAAAAAACTTACCAAATATAATAGGAACAAAAACATTATATATTTAGTTGTAAGCTTAAGAAATATGTCTGAGATCTGAGTCTGAAAAACTAGAAAACAACTGATATTAAATAAGACTTAAATAAGTTGGAAAATATACCCTGTCCATGGATTGGAAAACTAAATAGTGTTAAGATTTTAATTCTCTTCAAATTAATCTATAGATCCAAATAACAGATTATTTTGTAGAAATGAACAACATGACTTGAAATTTTATATGGAAAGGCAAAGAAGCAGAATAACTAAAACAGTTATGAAAAAGAACAAGGTTGGGAGGACATATGCTACCTGATTTTCAGACATATTATATAGCTACAGTCATCTAGGATAAGCACATATATGAACAGAACTGGATAGATTGTTCAGAAATAGACTTACACATATACAGTCAATTGATTGTCAAATGATTCTGGAATAACTGGATATTCACTTGTAAAAAAATAAATAAGAACCTTGACCTCTATCATGCTAATTAACACAATATGAACCATACAATAGTTTTAAATCTAAGAGTATGAAGCTTCTCAAATACAACAGAGAACAATTTGTGACCTTGAATTAGGCAAAAGTTACTTAGGTACAAAAAAGCATGATCCACAAGAAAAAAAATTGATAACTGATAACTGGAGTATATAAAAAAGTTTAAAGTATGATCTTTGAATAAAAAGCCCTGTTAGAAAAATTAAAAAGCCATCCACTTCCTTGGAAAAATTATTCAAAAAATTAAAAAGTATATTCCTTTATCTAATAAAGGATCTGAAGCAAAAATATATATAAGGAACTCTCAAAATTCAACAATAAGAAAGAAACCCAAATTTTAAAATGAGCAAGATATTTGAATAAACACTTTATTAAAGGAGCTATATGAATATCAAATAGGCAAAATAGGATGAGGTTATATAAATCACCACAAATTGTATGAGGTCATGCAAATCACCATGTGAAGTCATATGAGGAATCATCACATATTGGAATGGGTAAGATAAAAGAAAATAAAGAAAAAAATAAAGAAAAACTGGCCAAACTAAGTACTGCTGAAAATGTGGAAGAACTGGAAAGCTCATATACTGCAGGTGGGAATACAAAATTATTCAATCTCTGAAAAGTGTTTGGCAATTTCTTTATACACTAACTGCATGACCCAGTAATCTCAAGAGAATCTAAGACATAAGTGCACACAAAAACCTGTGTGTGAATATTTATAGCTGCTTTATTCATGATCCTGAAAAGAAAATAAACTAAATATCCTTTAGCTGATGACTGGATTTAAAAGCTATGGTATCCTATATAATAAAAGGCTAATATGCAAATCGACTGAACAGCAGACCGACCGGTCGCTATGACACTCACTGACCACGAGGGGGCTCAATGCAGGAACTGCCCCCTGATGATCAGTGTGCTCCCACAAGGGGAGTACAGCTCAACCAGAAGGCGGGCTCACAGCTGGCGAGCACAGCAGCAGTGGTGGGAGCCTCTCCCTCCTCCGCAGCAGCGCTAAGGATGTCCAACTGATGGCTTAGGCCCGCTCCCCATCAGTTGGACATCCCCCGAGGGCTCCTGGACTGTGAGCGTGCGCAGGCCGGGCTGAGGCACTCCCCCTCCCCCCACCACCCTGAGTGCACGATTTTCATGCACTGGGCCTCTAGTATCTGTATAATGAAATCCCTCTTGACAATAAGAAGACATGAACTACTGGTACACGTAACTATGAATGAATCTCAAATGACTTCTGCAAGATTTAGATTTTCTAAGGCTACATGGCATATAATTACATTATATGACATTCTGGAAAGAGCAAAACTCTAGAGACAGAAAATATATCAGTGGTTGCCAGGGCCTGGGAGTCAGGGAAAGGGTTGACTTCAAAGAACACAAGGGTATATTTTTTTGTGTGGTGAGAAACTATTCTACATCTTGATTGTGGTCATTTACATGACCCCATGCTATTGTCAAAGTAGGAGAGATTGATGGGGGGAAAGAGACATATGTGATACTTTCAACAATAAAGAATTTAAAAAACAAAACTCAGAACTATAAGCTAAAAGAGATGACTTTTCTTGCATGCAAAGTATACCTCAATAAGCCTGATTTTAATTTTTAAAAAGATTTTTAGAAAGCTGTTTGCTTGGAAAAAGATATAATAAGGGTCAGAGCCAAGTAAATGAGAAAAAAATTATATAAGAAGGAAGCACAACTACTTAATCCAGGATGGAAGGAACCCAAAGAAAGAAAGTGTTTTCAAAAAAGATGACACTCATAAATTAGGGTTAAGGTGCTTGCAAAAGACAGCTTCATCCTGGCCTGAGAAGTCATCATAAAACACAGGGTTAAGGTGCTTGCAAAAGACAGCTTCATCCTGGCTTGAGAAGTCATCATGAAACAAAGAAACACAGAGTATCTTAAGAAATAGAAATAATTTCCAGCTGCTCTATAGCTGAGGCAACTGAGACACGGAGAGTGGTAGGCAGAACTCTAAAGTGCGCCCACCCCATTCGGGTCCCCTGCAGTACACACCCAGTATAATCT